TTGGACTTTCATGAAAATATCGAAAACGTGTCCAATAATTAGTACATTTGTCTTGTTTTGAATGTTGTCTATCAACATAATAGTTTATACCTTCTTCAGATAGACTATAATGAAAATCATTCATTTATAAAATCTTTATATTAATAATCAATATCGACTCACGCATTATTTGTTGTATTCTAAAACAAACAATTAAAATTACAAAACAATATCAATTGTCTACATACACTCGTTAATTCTTCATTTTCTTTTCGATAACTGATAAACCAAGGTGCTATCAAGCCAAAAGTAAGAATTGATGGAATGAGTAATAATTTTGCTGTTGTTTGACGATTAGTCAATGATAGTTTATTGTACCATATTTGATTTAATGCTTGATCAAAACAAGCTGTTTTAACTAATTTTTTACTTTCACTTGAAATAGCAACCTAACAAAATGAAAATTCTTTTGCTGGTCTTTGAATTGAATACCTAGTGTTATTAACCTGCATGCATGTAACATTACCAAAAAGTGGTATTTGTCGTAAAAGTAATTCACAAGCACGTTTCTCATTATATTCATAGCATTTATCAGTAAACATTGCAGCATATGTTTCAAATTCTAATGATTGAGTTAGAAATTTTTGTTTTAAGTAAACTGTTTGAGATAATTTAGAATATTTTTTAAATATAGCTGAAGCAATAAGAGCAGCACAAATACGAGATCGAACATGAAGAAGTAAGATTTTAGTCGTTTCAGGCATATCCATAAAAACAGACCACAAAAAGAGATCGCACAATATGTGATCCTTTGTATATTTGTCGTTTATTTGATCATATTCTATTATATTATTAATAACTTGTAATTCAGAATTACTTTCAACATGTCTATGTGCTCCACAACAAGTACATGCATGATAATTCAAGTCAATCTTAACACGATTGTTAAAAGTTTCATCTTTAAAGGAATAAATTGGTCCAAAGAAAGAACCCACAAATTTATTTAACTTATAATTAAGTTCTTGTATTGATTTAAGAGGTAGTCTACCAAATAATGTGTCTACACGACTTTTGTGACTCTGCAGTAAAAAAAATATTCCAATAGGGAAAAGAAGAATTGATTCAAAAAAAAAAGACCAACCCTATTCATTGCATTGTAAGCTTTGACGTATAACTCTAAAATAAATTTTTGATAACAAGAAATATCATCTTTCTCAATTAAAGTTGATGGATCAAAACCACTTATTAAAAAATATTCAATAAATGTTGAACGATTCTTTTCAAGAGATTTTAAGAACAGTTTCTTTTGGTTCGAGAAGAGTTCTTGTTGTTTTAGCAACAGTTCCGTCTGTTGTTCTTTATCCTCCTAAAATAAATTAAATATTACAGGACGTTAATATGCTTGATTTTATATACACAGGTCATACCAAAAGTAGTGACGAAGGTGCTCTATTTTGTTATGAAAAGTTTAAAGAAATTCTTTCTCTATATGGACTAATAGTATAAACAATGCTCTTGTTTTTCAGTGATAATAGACTATTCCTGAATTAATATTATAATAATAAAACAACGATCAGTTCTGTCTTTATATCATATGTCACAGTCATAATAATGCCTATTTAAAGAAACTGGAGGTTGATATTTTTTGAGTTATTTTGGAATAGAAGCAAGGTAGAGAATTGTGGTTTTCATCGTTCGAAACAGGGGATGAAGATATATTGAATCGTATATTATATGCATTATTGACATGATTATATTAATATTGTCAATCGAATTCTTTAAAAACAAATCTACCTCGTAAAGTATTTACAGCAAATTTTCGATGGTTACGTGTGTATTCAAACTTGTGAAAGTTCTACGTGATTTTTTTTAGTTATGTCTGAGAAAAATTTTTTTCCACACTTACTTTTTGTATCTTTATTTATTTTTGGTGATTCGAGTTGAATAGTACAGAATAAACACTGCGAATGAATTTATTTTGACATTATTTTAATCGAATCCCAGAAATAAGTAAAGGGTCGTAGTGTTATATTTAGAAGTTACAGAAAGAAATTAGATTTTTCTTCAAAAATTGTTTCTTATTTTTTTTTTTATCTATTCATGTCATCCACAAGTTTTCATTTAGCTTTTCTCAATCAAAACACTTGTTTACACCATTTCTCCAATTTTTTAGAAGAATTTTTATTTATTTGGAATACTATTCTCAAATCTTATGGACTTTTATCTTTGTTCTAGAACATTTAAATTAATGACAAATTTCTTTTGTTGTGATCAATACTGAAGACACTAAGCTTTGATTTTTCTGATCGCTAATATAACTTTTAATTGTAAGGTTATTATATTATCATATCAGTTTCTCAGGTGACTTTCAATCGTAGCAATTATAACTCTCATATTTCTTAGAATAGATGACAATGATAACGAATTCGTTATGCACTATTGTATCTGGGAACGGTATTGAAAAGCATGAGACTAATTCCTTTTTTCAAATTACTATGTATAAATACCACATCATCCAGGGTCATACTACTTTAAATGAAATATATTTTTCTGAATAACAAGAGATGAAATAGAAATATTAAGCGAGACATTTAGTAAATAACTAACAACATCAAACCGCCTGAGACTTCTACTTTTAAAACTCTATGGTTCTTATTCAAATTTCTGCTAGCTTGGAATACGTTTTCTTGAACAAGAACATCATTTTATCTGAAAATTTCATTGGAACACTAATAATGGTTTACATCAAGGATTTTATAGTAATCGGTATAAAAATCAGCGTAGCACTAAATTCAATAGTCAAACACTTTTACTAGGAATATAACTTTAAACATGATTAGTCCAAGTAGTGAAACTGATGATTGTATGATGAATTCACATCAATGATCAGTCTTCATTGTATTCGAATACTTTTACGATAATATTGGATTGTTCTATTGAAAACTAGCTATTATCAAAGGCTTATAACGTGCTCAATGACTTCATCGTTTGTTTTGCTGCCACATGCTTAGTGTTAGTGAGCAAGTGTTTTTCTTCACGATCTTACCTTTTTAAAACAATTTTCTAGATTCATAATTTCATTTTGTATTTTCATAATTTCATCTTGTTGCGCTTGTAATATTGGTAAAAATCCGTCAAAATAATTCCATTCAAGTGTCAAATCTACTAATTGATCTTCATCTTTTCGACATCGTTTTTCTTGTTCCAGTGCTTCATTCTTATTTTTTTGATCATGCTCTACTTTGTTTTTCTCTTTTGTAGCTATGAAATAAAAATTGATCAATGAGAATATATATTTATTAAAATAAATACTGATTAATATTGCCTTGAAAATCGTTTCAACTACATTTTTATCACGGTTCATGGAGAAAACATGTAATAGATAACGATTTTCTTCTTGTAAAATCTTTTGAATTCGTCTTTTTGCTGTAGACACATCTGAATTGGAAACACTAGGATAAAATCGACGAAGAGCTTGTTCAATTTCTTGCTTTGATGGATTCCTGTTCAAAAAAAGAAATATCTAACATAAAAATAAATACAGCATCATATTTTATTACTGATGTTGATTTCGATCAGAATTTGATGTCTGTTCGACTAGCATAGCAAGTACATCGGCTAAACGACCACTACCCTATATTTGAATGATTGTTAAAGTCAAGACATACGGGCTGGTTTTGCCAGAAAAACACTAACAATCGATGAAAATTGGAAGCAATATTTCGAATCAAAAAGTCTCCGGATTTTTCTTTTGAGTTCAGATCCACTTTCTGTTTGTTGCAGTAGGCGAATTCTTAAATCATCGGAAAAAAATGAAGATTATCCGGTTTGAAATATTGCCTCCGTGTTTCATCGAGTTATGGTGTTTTGCTGCTGAATACGATGATTTTTCTTGTGTTTTTGTGACTGATGACAGTGAAATCCGTTTGTTTATGGTGTCTGATATCATCGATTTTGGTGCAATACAATAAACATATCTGAGAGTGTTATAATACGAACTTGAATCAAAACAATTGGTCGTTTTTGTTCGATATCATTTTGAAGAACTTCAAGACTACTTAAATCACCTCCCACGATAATTGTTACGGCATAGCCTTTATACGTATATAAATATTAGATTCATTTTGATAATGTTGAGAAAATTTTTAAGTAAGTACATACATGTATGATTATTATCTGTATCTTTACATGCTTCGATAACAAATCGATGACGCTGCGAATCACTGAGATATTCATTTAATCTACCACTATCGAATAGAATACAATGTGTATGATTTCGTTCGATTGTTTCGTTATATTCTTGAGCATTGTCTGGAATCTGTCGTTCACTTATCGGTTTTAGCAAGTTCTATGAAATAAAAAGGTCTTTCTATTTTTCATTTCTTACAAATATTCTCATTATTTTACGGTTGATGCATTTTTAAGTTCAAGACGTGTATCTTCATTTATTGTGCCCCACATAGTCATTCCAATACATTTCACTTTATTCGGATATTCTTGTAAGAGGCGATAATGTGAAATACCTTCACCAACCAATTTTGAGATACCGTTATCGATGCCGGCAGTAAGAATCCATGCATCTAAATAGATCTATTATTATAATAATGTTCAAAAATATTAACTATTTACCGGCCATAGTAGCAGCATCAATAACACCTTTTATGAATTCTTTTTCAAGTCGTTCTGTCATCGTAAAATATTTGGCTCCACCATATACACTTAAGATGAGAACTGGTTTTTGTCCGCCACAATCTTCGAGAATGAACTGATACAAATCTTTCATTGGCAATCGATTATCTATTCGAAGAAATTTACAACCCGTAGGTTTCAATATTCCAAAGACATTGATAGGCACTTGAACAGAGTAAGTCATATCGCGAAATCCATTCGAAGGTTCCCAATCAGTATTTCCCCGACTTGTCTCTTTGAATTCTAGAGACTCACCAGTGAAACTATGGCAACGAACCATACGATTACAAGGACATAACTTATTTGGATTGTCAAGACACTTTGATTGAATATTGTAGACTTTACAGGTGCGTGATTTGAATTTAGGTTTTTCACTGTGACGAATGATGAGATCTCTCCATGTTTGTAAGCTTTTATCCATAGTTATCTATAATTTTCAGCTATGTTTTCTGTCACTAATTATTTATATTCAGGTTTAATGGATAAATAGAAGTCTTTTATATGCTAGAATCTAATTGTTCAAAATAACAATATGCGAAGCAATATACAAATAAATAGGATTTACTGTAAAACCGAGCGAGTTTAGGACGTTCATCATGGAAGAAGATGATTATACGCAAAAAATCAATGCTTACGAAGCTAATTTAAAGTAATATGATCCCAGTTTTTGCTCGATTTTGCAGTAAACAATCGAAAACAAATTTCGGGAAAAGGCAACTATTTCTTCACCTTAAATTTTCTCTTGCACCTAGTTCACTACTAAAACAGAATATGAACATTGTTTTGAAGAATTTCACTTCACCAAACATCACTATGGTGATCACCTTCATCGTTTCTTACATTTTTTTTGCATGGAAAACGTATGGTAAATGCATTGCTGTGCTATATTAGAAACAAATAAAACCATAACTATTTACTCTCATTCTTCTACAATCATTTCAAACAAACGTTTCAAAGTTCAATGGTGTATTTTGATTCATAACATAAAAGAATTTTTTTTATTGCAGAAAAAAAACGAAATGACAAATTTGCAGCATTTTATCATATTTTGGAAAGAAATTGAAAATTTAATTTCAACTATTGTATATTCTGATTAATGTCCTCTTATTCTCAATGTGAAAGAAATGAAAAAGGATCAACTATATTGATATAATTTTTTCACGAAAAGAATTACTGATCAAATCTAATAGTCAAAATAAGTTAACATCAACATACTAAAATATTTCTGTAGTCAACACTTTGCAGCCTTCACATACATACTCATTATAGGGGGATGTCCATTATAGAAAAGTCATAGCTTTTCCAAAGGCAATTTTTTTTTCGGAAAATCATATACATTTCTTTAAACGTTTGAAAAGTTTTATAAAATACAATATGTAACTTAAGCAAATAATTACTTCTCTTTCCATATTATTTTTAATCTTTGAAAATAGCAAAAACAGTCATTGTTTAAGTTAGTTGTTGACAGATCTCTGTTTTATCACTATCAAATTCAAACAAACATCATTTATTTGGAATGTAAGACAGCAGATAACTACCGTACTATTGTAGCTGTAGAATGAACGTGAAAACATGAAGCTTTCAAGTCATTTCAAATATCTTAGATGGAACTTGGATATTTTCTACCAGAGACATATCTTTCTACTTCTTCTTCATCCTTCTCAACTACTTTTTGTAACTTCAAATGCACATCAATACCACATTTGTTGAAAAGAAGAATAGAAAAATCATTGCTGACGTATTAGTAGTCATTCGTTCGTAACTATCAAATTAAACTATTCTATCCAAATTGATAATTAGTGGTCAATGTGGAGATATTCGAATCAAGCAAAAACTACTTTGCGACAAGGTCAAAAAGTGTCCATTATGGAAGATTTTACTGTATATGATATAACTTTTCATCAATTCTAAAAATTCAAACAACCATTTTTTCAGCAAAAAACTACATACTGAAAAAAAAGATATTACTATTGAAAATAATAACACTAATAAATATAGGACAAATAGATGCTTCGAGTATTCATAACTAGTTAACTTTTTAGATGAAAGGTGAAACCAAGTGTCTAAAAAATGCTTGTTTTTAGTTCTCTTTTATAATTCCAGATGAAAATGATCTGTCAGTTAAGATTGTGTCATAAAAGTGTTCGTTTTCTAAGAAACATTCTGACAAGAAAAAAAAAAGATGGTGCACCATTTTGCTTCATGTGTCTGCTGTAATTTATGTTTTCTTTTATATAAAAAACTACGTTAACAACCAAAATAGTACAAAGATAATAACTTCATTGCGATATATGTGCTACGATGAATAAATTTTTCAACGCAATTATTTTTCATTTTCTTCATTTGATTGATGTAACATATCATTTTCATGAAAAAGCTTATTTATGTATTTTCGAGCATATGCAATTTGGTTTTCTTTCATAACCTTATTTTCATTTATTATATCAATGAAAACTTTGAATTCGGAACAATAACTACTAGATAAGCACTCAAATAAAAACATCACAAAAACAGTCTCAATTTATCTTTTACTATTAGCAAGCACTCGGATTAATATCTATAACATTCTAATATATTTGTTTTCACTGAACAAATGAGAATTCCATTTGTATGTGTCAGTTTTACGTCTACCACACAAAATATTATTAATTTTATGATTACACTTCTTCGCTGCTCTATAGCCTGTTACAAATAAAAAAGTGAATTGATTATTTTTATTTTCGAAGAATATTTCTAGATACATTAACATAAGTTTTTCTAATGTACACATACATGAGAAATATTCATTTTTTTTCTTTGAATAAAATACTACAGACACAGGCACCATTCGATAGAAAACTGATTTTTTTCCATAGACTTTACTTTCCCAATATTGATCATAATGTAGTTTAAATAACTCAGAATGATTCTCGAGAATTTTAAACAAAAGAAAACGATACGATACATTACGAAACACTTTCTAGTGCACCCAGTATTGTTCAAGATGAGTCGGAAATAAATCAGAATTGATTGATATAAACAATAAAAACTTATAGTTCTACTAGTATGATGGTTTCAATTCTTCTGATTTGATTTATATTTATCATCAGTAATCCTGTTATTGCTCCTATTGAAGATAAGTTAATATGAATTGAACAGATATAATAATTGTAACGATGAAGGTTAGGCTTGCCTAATATTTTGTCCTTATCATGTGTTTTATTCTGACAATGCACTTTACTCTCACTCTAAGTTTTGTCCTTATCCTCTGGTATTATATTTCATACCGTTATATTGTGATATTTGTTTAGTTTTGATGCTTGCGTATATAATGTGTAGAAACATTTGTATGCTGGTGCGATTTAGGATATGAGGAAGCGAAATAAAGTATAATTCCATCTTCACTAACCCTTCTTCTATCTAAAAATCGTCACAGTGTGCAATATTTTTTCTCGAAATTCCAAATTGTTTCATACTCATGCTGTAATTCTATCTCATCTTTATAATTTGAAGTTACTTTAAGTTTTGAATATATTAGGAAAGATATAATGTTGATAGTTTGCAAACAAATAATAATCATTATTAGTGTCAAAATCATTTTTTATTTTTATCTAATTTCATTAAATTGCATTAAAGTAGCGACTTAATATAGATCTTGTAGTTTTTTGAAAGTTGTTGATAGTGACTGCATCAGAAGCTTCTGATCTCACATTGCCATTATAACTCGTTTATTTATAAAAAAATCATACGGCTGTAAGTTCTCAAATGGAATAAGAAGCTTGAAGCTGAACAAACATATGTACAGATTACTCTCATTCACGTAACATCTTAGCAATATGTGTGTATACCGTTCTGAAAAGACCGATTAATCATATTTCTAGAATTGTCGTATATTAAAAAACTGATAGAATCTTTTTTTCGCTTTATATCATCAACGAGTTTATCGAAAATATGGGTCTCATTTTGATATATCAAAACGAATAGTATGTTTTTTTTTATTTTAGATCACGGACGAATTTATCCTTAACGTAAGTGTCATTTAGATATTTAAAATCCAATAATTGAGTTTGTTTTATCTGAAATTTGGATGACCATCGTACAAGTTGTACATTGTGTATGCAAATTAAAGAACTGTTTATTGCTTCACATTCGTTCTTGATTTAGAACTAGAGAATTGAAACCTCTGAAACTTTTATTCAGTCCTCGAGATCGGCATCCAAGGTTGGGCTGTAGTTGATTTTTTGGGTTTACGATGCACCGAAAACCCTCTAGGGGTGTTTTTGGAACACGATTTTTTTAGAGAGTAGATACCTGCGGTTTTCGTCATCACATAGAGCAATCTCTATGATTTCTATGTGTATATGGTTAACTAGTTTTTAAGAGTCCAATCACTGTTTTCTAAACATATATCTTTTTCGATGTGCATTTTCATGGTAAGATTAACTCAACTTCCAACAAAATGTCCCCCTCAAGAATATTCTGCTAACGGTAAAGCCTTCACGCACTTCTAACATTCTTTCAAACTCATACCTTCAGGATATTAATTTAAAAGCCTAATGGCTTTATCACTAACGGAGCGTTCTTTGGGCTGCATTTTAGTGTTAGTTGAGCTAGGGTAACCAAGAAAATCAAGGAATATGCACAGCAAACAAGATGTGCTTGAAAAACAGTCATTGAAGTCTTCTTCAAAACTAATTGATCGTATACATGTAGACGCCATGGACATTGATCTATGCAATCGCGAAAACGACAGGTCTCTATCTTGCTCCTATCAAAAGTCCTTCGCAACCAAAAATTCGGTCGGTAACTTTTGACCCAGCCTGTATCAAAAACTAAATTTTCATCAGCGCCTGTGAAGACCTATCTTATTATTTATTTTAAACTCAAATGAATATCACTAAGAATTTAAGCGATACACTTTGAATATTTGGTGGTGTTATCATTGTATGATTCATTAATCAAGTTGCTTGATCCAACATTTGAAGAAAAATCCTTACAATCAATCAAAATCTTTCTACAAATCTTGTTGATTTCATGGCTGGATTCACTCTAATTTCAGGCGTATTATGCCATGTCAAATTTTGTTCAATTAAATGATCTCAAGCGGCCTGAGATGAAAATCTTTAAACAACAAATTCAATTAGCACTTGATTTGAAATAACTCGTTAGATATGTCTTTTTAATATGCTGGTCTCGTAGTTCCTATATTTTCTATATATAGGAAATAGCTCAATATCCTCCTATATCCGAAGTAAAGATCCTATTTTTTTATATTTTACTAATGAGGGTCATGTACTACTA